TGCACCGAATCCAGATTTGTGGGGTTCGGCCGAATACCGAATCCACTGGTTAAGATTCTGCCGAATCCGAAACCGAATACCGAATCCTACTCTCATCCTCAGTCCATTAACACAGTAAACACATTAATGAAGTAAACAAAGTGGATTTTTCATTTTATTTTATTACTGTAAATAATAAACACTACTTTTACTTTTATAACTGTAAAAAAAAGAAAAAGAATAAGCAACATTATGCATTTTAACAGCGGCGATGTTGTGTAGCCTATTTAGAGTCCTTGCCACCATGAGACAAATCGGCATTGCAAATTGAACATGTAGCTCGACTTGAATTGCCTTCTTTCACTGAAAGTACTGCCAAACAACACTTTTTCTGCTCACGAGTTCCATTTTCACTTTCTCACAGCCTACTGCATTCGAACGGTCCACCTACTGTAACGAGTGGAAATAAGGTGTGGCCCCTTTAAGAACTGCGCGCCGTATGTGTCGTGCGCCTCGAACACATGCCTATGTATGCGGGTTATTTCTGTTTGATGCTCATTTTTACCTTATTTTGTTAAGTAACGCTGTGGATGGTAGAACGTGTGACAGACAGTTACACAAGTTCGATTGTGGAATAAAGTGCGAGTTGTGAGATGCCAATCGCCTCCGTGAGTACGTCTGGCCTCTGCAATAACTTTAGCTGTGAGCTATCCCTATTTTTCTTCCTGACACAACACGTTACACTACAGGCTTGTTCGACTTGAACCGGCGCTGCACAGACAGATAAGTTTATGACATCAAAGTCCCGCGAGAGCAATTCAAAAGCATAAGGAGCCGTCTGCTCTCTATTCGTTCACGCGGTACTTTGATGTCATTCACTGATCGGTGACTTCGACGTAGCGCGCGTAGTGCAAGCCTAGGGTTCGGTTCGGTGGAAAAAAATTCTGAGGTTCGGCAGAAACCGAACCCCGTTAAAATTCCCAATATTCGGCCGAATCCGAATCCGAATCCTGGATTCGGTGCATCCCTAGTTCTAATAAAGGGTGTAACGCTGTGGGTCCGTGTGTAACGCTGTGGGTCCGTGTGTAACGCTGTGGGTCCGTGTGTAACGCTGTGGGTCCGTGTGTAACACTGTGGGTCGCTCCAGCTTGTGTAACGCTCCAGCTTGTGTAACGCTGTGGGTCCGTGTGTAACGCTGTGGGTCGCTCCAGCTTGTGTAACGCTGTGGGTCCGTGTGTAACGCTGTGGGTCCGTGTGTAACGCTGTGGGTCCGTGTGTAACGCTGTGGGTCCGTGTGTAACGCTGTGGGTCCGTGTGTAACGCTGTGGGTCCGTGTGTAACGCTGTGGGTCCGTGTGTAATGCTGTGGGTCCGTGTGTAACGCTGTGGGTCCGTGTGTAACGCTGTGGGTCGCTCCAGCGTGTGTAACGCTGTGGGTCCGTGTGTAACGCTGTGGGTCCGTGTGTAACGCTGTGAGTCCGTGTGTAACGCTGTGGGTCCGTGTGTAACGCTGTGGGTCCGTGTGTAACGCTGTGGGTCCGTGTGTAACGCTGTGGGTCCGTGTGTAATGCTGTGTCCGTGTGTAACGCTGTGGGTCCGTGTGTAACGCTGTGGGTCGCTCCAGCGTGTGTAACGCTGTGGGTCCGTGTGTAACGCTGTGGGTCGCTCCAGCGTGTGTAACGCTGTGGGTCCGTGTGTAACGCTGTGGGTCCGTGTGTAACGCTGTGGGTCCGTGTGTAACGCTGTGGGTCCGTGTGTAACGCTGTGGGTCCGTGTGTAACGCTGTGGGTCCGTGTGTAACACTGTGGGTCGCTCCAGCTTGTGTAACGCTCCAGCTTGTGTAACGCTGTGGGTCCGTGTGTAACGCTGTGGGTCCGTGTGTAACGCTGTGGGTCCGTGTGTAACGCTGTGGGTCCGTGTGTAACGCTGTGGGTCCGTGTGTAACGCTGTGGGTCCGTGTGTAATGCTGTGGGTCCGTGTGTAACGCTGTGGGTCCGTGTGTAACGCTGTGGGTCGCTCCAGCGTGTGTAACGCTGTGGGTCCGTGTGTAACGCTGTGGGTCCGTGTGTAACGCTGTGGGTCGCTCCAGCGTGTGTAACGCTGTGGGTCCGTGTGTAACGCTGTGGGTCCGTGTGTAACGCTGTGGGTCCGTGTGTAACGCTGTGGGTCCGTGTGTAACGCTGTGGGTCCGTGTGTAACGCTGTGGGTCGCTCCAGCGTGTGTAACGCTGTGGGTCCGTGTGTAACGCTGTGGGTCCGTGTGTAACGCTGTGGGTCCGTGTGTAACGCTGTGGGTCCGTGTGTAACGCTGTGGGTCCGTGTGTAACGCTGTGGGTCCGTGTGTAACGCTGTGGGTCCGTGTGTAATGCTGTGGGTCCGTGTGTAACGCTGTCACGCTGTGGGTCGCTCCAGCGTGTGTAACGCTGTGGGTCCGTGTGTAACGCTGTGGGTCCGTGTGTAACGCTGTGGGTCCGTGTGTAATGCTGTGGGTCCGTGTGTAACGCTGTGGGTCGCTCCAGCTTGTGTAACGCTGTGGGTCCGTGTGTAACGCTGTGGGTCCGTGTGTAACGCTGTGGGTCCGTGTGTAACGCTGTGGGTCCGTGTGTAACGCTGTGGGTCGCTCCAGCTTGTGTAACGCTGTGGGTCCGTGTGTAACGCTGTGGGTCCGTGTGTAACGCTGTGGGTCCGTGTGTAACGCTGTGGGTCCGTGTGTAACGCTGTGGGTCCGTGTGTAACGCTGTGGGTCCGTGTGTAACGCTGTGGGTCCGTGTGTAACGCTGTGGGTCCGTGTGTAATGCTGTGGGTCCGTGTGTAACGCTGTGGGTCCGTGTGTAACGCTGTGGGTCCGTGTGTAACGCTGTGGGTCCGTGTGTAACGCTGTAGGTCCGTGTGTAACGCTGTGGGTCCGTGTGTAACGCTGTGGGTCCGTGTGTAATGCTGTGGGTCCGTGTGTAACGCTGTGGGTCCGTGTGTAACGCTGTGGGTCCGTGTGTAACGCTGTGGGTCCGTGTGTAACGCTGTGGGTCCGTGTGTAACGCTGTAGGTCCGTGTGTAACGCTGTGGGTCGCTCCAGCGTGTGTAACGCTGTGGGTCCGTGTGTAACGCTGTGGGTCCGTGTGTAACGCTGTGGGTCCGTGTGTAACGCTGTGGGTCGCTCCAGCGTGTGTAACGCTGTGGGTCCGTGTGTAACGCTGTGGGTCCGTGTGTAACGCTGTGGGTCCGTGTGTAACGCTGTGGGTCCGTGTGTAACGCTGTGGGTCGCTCCAGCTTGTGTAACGCTGTGGGTCGCTCCAGCTTGTGTAACGCTGTGGGTCCGTGTGTAACGCTGTGGGTCGCTCCAGCGTGTGTAACGCTGTGGGTCCGTGTGTAACGCTGTGGGTCCGTGTGTAACGCTGTGGGTCGCTCCAGCTTGTGTAACGCTGTGGGTCCGTGTGTAACGCTGTGGGTCTGTGTGTAACGCTGTGGGTCGCTCCAGCTTGTGTAACGCTGTGGGTCCGTGTGTAACGCTGTGGGTCCGTGTGTAACGCTGTGGGTCCGTGTGTAACGCTGTGGGTCTGTGTGTAACGCTGTGGGTCACTCAAGCGTGTGTAATGCTGTGGGTCCGTGTGTAACGCTGTGGGTCCGTGTGTAACGCTGTGGGTCCGTGTGTAACGCTGTGGGTCGCTCCAGCGTGTGTAACGCTGTGGGTCCGTGTGTAACGCTGTGGGTCGCTCCAGCGTGTGTAACGCTGTGGGTCCGTGTGTAACGCTGTGGGTCCGTGTGTAACGCTGTGGGTCCGTGTGTAACGCTGTGGGTCCGTGTGTAACGCTGTGGGTCCGTGTGTAACGCTGTGGGTCGCTCCAGCGTGTGTAACGCTGTGGGTCCGTGTGTAACGCTGTGGGTCGCTCCAGCGTGTGTAACGCTGTGGGTCCGTGTGTAACGCTGTGGGTCGCTCCAGCGTGTGTAACGCTGTGGGTCCGTGTGTAACGCTGTGGGTCCGTGTGTAACGCTGTGGGTCCGTGTGTAACGCTGTGGGTCCGTGTGTAACGCTGTGGGTCCGTGTGTAACGCTGTGGGTCGCTCCAGCGTGTGTAACGCTGTGGGTCCGTGTGTAACGCTGTGGGTCCATGTGTAACGCTGTGGGTCCGTGTGTAACGCTGTGGGTCGCTCCAGCGTGTGTAACGCTGTGGGTCCGTGTGTAACGCTGTGGGTCGCTCCAGCGTGTGTAACGCTGTGGGTCCGTGTGTAACGCTGTGGGTCGCTCCAGCGTGTGTAACGCTGTGGGTCCGTGTGTAACGCTGTGGGTCCGTGTGTAACGCTGTGGGTCCGTGTGTAACGCTGTGGGTCCGTGTGTAACGCTGTGGGTCCGTGTGTAACGCTGTGGGTCGCTCCAGCGTGTGTAACGCTGTGGGTCCGTGTGTAACGCTGTGGGTCCGTGTGTAACGCTGTGGGTCCGTGTGTAACGCTGTGGGTCCGTGTGTAACGCTGTGGGTCCGTGTGTAACGCTGTGGGTCGCTCCAGCGTGTGTAACGCTGTGGGTCCGTGTGTAACGCTGTGGGTCGCTCCAGCGTGTGTAACGCTGTGGGTCCGTGTGTAACGCTGTGGGTCCGTGTGTAACGCTGTGGGTCCGTGTGTAACGCTGTGGGTCCGTGTGTAACGCTGTGGGTCCGTGTGTAACGCTGTGGGTCGCTCCAGCGTGTGTAACGCTGTGGGTCCGTGTGTAACGCTGTGGGTCCGTGTGTAACGCTGTGGGTCCGTGTGTAACGCTGTGGGTCCGTGTGTAACGCTGTGGGTCGCTCCAGCGTGTGTAACGCTGTGGGTCCGTGTGTAACGCTGTGGGTCGCTCCAGCGTGTGTAACGCTGTGGGTCGCTCCAGCGTGTGTAACGCTGTGGGTCCGTGTGTAACGCTGTGGGTCCGTGTGTAACGCTGTGGGTCCGTGTGTAACGCTGTGGGTCCGTGTGTAACGCTGTGGGTCCGTGTGTAACGCTGTGGGTCCGTGTGTAACACTGTGGGTCCGTGTGTAACGCTGTGGGTCGCTCCTCAGGCATCGCCGGCCTGTGCTCGGTGGCCGTCGTCGCGCTGGAGCGCTGTCTGGTGGTGTGCCGGCCCGTGGGCTCGCTCTGCTTCAGCACCAGGCATGCGGTGGCCGGGTTGGCGGCGGCCTGGCTCTGGTCCTTCCTCTGGAACACGCCGCCGCTGTTCGGCTGGGGGGGCTTCGAGCTGGAGGGCGTTCGGACCAGCTGTGCGCCGGACTGGTACAGCAGGAACTGGGCCAACGTCTCCTACATCCTCTGCTACTTCCTTCTCTGCTTCGCTCTGCCCTTCTCTGTCATCGTTGTGTCCTACACTCGCCTCCTGTGGACCCTGAGACGGGTAGGGGATTCGCTCTATGCTAATGAGCGCAACATAGTGTCAGCCCAGATCCGGCCCACATCCGGTGCACCTTGAGTCCACGGGTCCTGGATCTGGGCCGACACTATAGCTGCATTCAAGTCATAGGGAGGAAGTCATTTTCATATTTGTCCTTATCAGAAATTGTAGTATGTTTTATAGATGTTTACAGCACTTTATCCTTCATCCTTCCCTCGCGGGTCAAAATGACGCGAACCCTGAGATTTTACCGTTAAATTACTAGATTTGATCAATAAATAATAAATAAATAGTAATTTAAGCACATTCCTCACATTCTTTCAACTTAACTCACAATTGTATGCATAACCCTTTTTTATTCAGATCTAAATATCTTACATTGGGTGTCTTTGCCGACCTCTTGTGGGAAAATGATAATTTCATGACTCTAGATGGCATTATAGCTCCATATGGAGCAAATGAGCTGTTCCGCTGGGTTCTAAAGCCAGTTTCTCTTCAGTGTGCATTCAGATACACATGTAGACATTATAAAATAATTTTTTGGTAAAGTTTTTAGTTTGAATTTTGAGCATTTTTAGTTTTTTCTACATGCACTGAAGCATTCCTCGCATTCCATTCATTCCTAAGGGAGTCACATTAAAGGGAAGGATTAGTTACTTTTTTAAATTTCAATCACAAAACTATTATTTTGTGTGTGTGTGTGTGTGTGTGTGTGTGTGTGTGTATTCGTGGTTCAAGTGCGACAAAAGTCCTGGGGTCTTGGACCCCTCTGATGAACACTACATTTTTTAAATTTGAAATGACCCGAGGGAAAGATAAGAAACGTAAATGCTGTCATATGTTCCACGAATTGTGGTGGACTTTTCTTGTTTGTTCTGTTCCCTGTTTTGTGGCATGGTCATGTTTGGTTTCTCTGTCGTGTTTGTCTTCCTCGTCACCATCTTGCCTTAGTTCTAGTAATGTATTAGTTGTCACGGTTTCTAACTGGTTCTCACCTGTTCCTTGTTCTGTTGATGAGCGCTCTCCTGACTCCTCAGCGGGTGTGTGTTGTGCCTGTGCAGGTGAGCCGGCTGGAGGGGCCGGAGCGGGCCAGCACCTCGCGGGCCGAGACCCAGGTGGCCTGTATGGTGGTCGTCATGGTGATGGCCTTTCTGCTCACCTGGCTGCCCTACGCCGCACTCGCTCTGTCTGTGATCATAGACCCCGAGCTTCACGTCGACCCCGTGATCGCCACGCTTCCCATGTACCTGGCCAAGAGCAGCACGGTGTTCAACCCCATAATCTACATATTCATGAACCGACAGGTGAGTCAGGGAACTCCGTTGTTTTCATCATCAGATAGAGCTGAACTGAGCCTGGGAATACGGGGAGAGACACACAAGCTCTAGACATCATCTGCATCTTCTGCCCGAAACTAAACATTTTGCAGGGTTTCATGAACATCAAGATCAAATATTTTGTGTGAAACATGAAAATAATGTATGTATCCTGGTTACATGTGTTACATGTCAAGTCAGCTTTATTTATACAGCGCTTTATACATTACAGATTGTTTCAAAGCAGCTTTACAGCGATAACAGGAAAATTATGCATATCGGCTGAAGTCAGTCCAGTGTTGAATGTACTTATCATATCTTATTATGCATTACATGCAAATAACCATATTCCTAACACTAACCACATGTTGTTAATTTATATTATTATATGAGATTTATACGGTAAAACCTACGCCACCATCACTGTGATCAAGAGCTGAGGTTCAGATATGATAATGAGCGTTTGCTTTCTGACCAATCACAGCAGAGCAGCTCTCAGAGAGGCGGGGCTTAGAGAGACTGAATCTCCAATGGAAGCGTTTCAGACACTGAGAGAAAGAGCTGAAGCTGCAGTGGAGATTATGAGGACATTAATGTGTGTTTGATCATGGATGAATGTGAATCTGTTGTAGGAGACGCCAAAACAACATTAGCGGCCTTTAAAATAGCAGAATAGGGGCTCTTTAATTCAGTTTTCAGCTGATATGTTTGATCTGAAACTCTGTCTCAGTTCCGGGAGCGCGCCGTGCCGTTCCTCCTGTGCGGCAGAAACCCGTGGGCCGGTGACCCGGGAGACTCGGAGAAGGAGACCACAGTATCATCCGTCAGGAGGAGCAACCGGGTCTCGCCTGGATCCCCTCACACGCGTGACTGACGACGGATCAGAACATCTGTCTCTCACGCTTTCACTGCAGTTGTCAAGTACTGGCATGATTGTTTTGCTCTGTTACGGCTGTGTTTGTTTAAATAGGTTGTATATTGCATTCGAATAGTTAAAGGGGTTATTGATTATGATTTCACGTTTCTAACTGTAGTGAGTGTGTGTAATGTTGCTGTTTGAGCATAAACAACATCTGCACAGTTACAACGCTCAGAGTTCAGAGCAAAGGGAGAGATTTACTTTTACAGAACTCGCTTTTTAAGGACTACAACAAACGGCTGGTAGAACCATAGATATCATATAATAAAGGCTAGATGTCTCGTCCGCGCTGCTGGCCAATGGAGGTCGACATCCGCACTGGCGGCCATCTTGCCACAGGCAGCTCGCTCACTCGTAACATTGTGTTTTAATGGTGCATGTACTTTTAAATAACCATAACTTGGTTCTACCGATTTTCAAACGGTTTGGTTTGTTATAAACGTCAGAGATGTAGTTATGACACTGCATACATATGAATAATTATAACATATATGTTCAAGCATTCAGAATTATAGCCATGTTAATAACGTTTGTAAGGAACCAAACCGTTTTTAAATCCGTCAAGATTTCAGCGAGATAAGAGGATTTGTGTTCATGCTGATCACTCACCTTACATCAGAGCCTGCCTGTGACAAGATGGCCGAACGGTGATGCCGGAAGTGACTCCGCCGTAAGACATCTAGCCTTTATTATATGATATCTATGGGTAGAACTACACGAGCTTCCTACCGGGTTAGTGACATCACTGGCCCTAAGATTTACATAAACCCCGCCCCCGGCACACGATAGATTATCATGACAGAATATGCTAATCAATGACTAGAAGATAACTCCACATCTGCACCTTATAAACTAACCATTCAGAGATGTCCTGTCGCTCTACATGTCGTCACTTCTGACTGAGTCTCTCCATCATTGACTCCAGTTTGAACATAAAATCCAGAACAGTTTCTGTCTGCATGAGGTAATTGGAGCTGCTACCACACACACACGCACGCACACACACACACACACACACACACAAGCTCTTGAAGCTCCGCCCCCTGTGCATTTAAAGGGACACACACGAAACGGTGCGTTTGTGCTCACCCTCAAAAAGTGCAGACTGATCTCATGAAATGGCGTATGTATGACACGCCAATTCGTATTTCCATAATTGGCGTGCTATCAACACGCATAATCGCTTTTCAGCGTGTTTATGAACGCCTTTGACTTAACGTTATATTACTGTATTATGTATATATAAATATATGACCTACCCCAACCCCGTCCCTAAACCTACCCGTCACTGGGGTTAATACCATTTATGAGTCTTCTCCTACCATCCTAGGAAAAGAAATATCGCTCCACAGATGTAGATATAGATTTTGCTTCGTTTCGCTCGGACATTTAACGGCGTAGACATACACGCGGAATCACTCGGACATTTAATGGCGTAGACATACACGCAAAAGATTTCGGCGCGGACACACACGCGGATAGCTCAAAATGCGTATAGATAACACGCCACTTGACTTGAAAGTGGCGTGTATGTTTACGCAAAGTCATGATGTCATGTTGCAAAGTGACAATTTTAACATGCTATATAAAAATATCTGTGGGGTATTTTGAGCTGAAGCTTCACACACACACACACACTGGGGACATCAGAGGCTTATTTTACATCTTGTGGACAGAGCATTATACCACCCCTTTAAATGCATGTGCTAATCCACTTAAAACTCCATGTAATCATATTATAGATAATATTCTCGAGCGACTCTTCCACCATATGTCTTCGTTCGTGAGAGTCTGTGCATCTAGCTGATTAAATGGGACTTGCTCATTAGCAGCATCTGTCCATGATGGACTGAGCAATGCTGGGAATCAGCTACGGTCGTAATGAAGGAGGACTTCTGCACTTCCGATGCTTCACCGGCACAACGGAGGCGTGAATGCCCAACATCAGTAATGTACATTTGGGCCGCACGTGAAGAACATGCAGACTCTGCAGCCGGGACATGGATCTCAATATACCAATGTAAATCTGAACAGTTAAATCCTGAATTCTGAATTAAATGTGTAGTTATGAATCGTGACCACCAAGAATGTTTTGTAAATCTTAATAAATCTCTCTCTCTCCGTCTCTCTCATTAATTAATTTAAAAATAGCCTAAATGTAATGTTACCACACGACTTTATTCTCTTAAAGTCCCCCTGTGGTGTAAATCCAGCTTTTAATGTTGTTTATGTGTCTATGTGGTGTTTTTATTACGCTTTAAGACACACATGTGTAAGTTCATAAATCGACAGCATTAATCTAGACACAGATATCGGATCCCAGTCGTGTCTAAAGTGATGAAACAGGCGAGAGATCATCGGATCTGTGCATTAGTCCCTGCAGTCGATCACTGTAACTCGGCTTCGATCTCCAAAATTACATATTTAAACGTTTTTTCCTTGAAAAAATTCTTCATGACTTATAATATCTTGAATGTAACTCGACACCCTTGCCTCATTCAGTATGCAAATGAGCCCCGCCTCCACTCACACTGCGGTGCCTCTCCCATACATGCATAATAATACACTAATAACTTCAATATACACATACAGTATTGTTACATCCCTGACCTTTAACCTACTGTACAATACTTGAATATTGTATTATTGCACATTATTATTTTAATTATTATACTTTTTATAACCAGAACAGCTTATGAAGTGAGCAGAGGAATGCTGTGTGTGTGTGTGTGTGTGTGTGTGTGTGAGTGCAGGTGTTACTGACAGATGTTAGTTTCACTACAGAACGTGGTTTCACCTCAACAGTCCGCGAGCTAAAGAAAGTACAAGACTTCACGGTTTTAGAGAGGGCAGTGAATCAGTGTGTTCAAAAAACAAATATACACTTATGAATATGGAATCCAGCTACAAAATGAGTTTGATAATACGGCTCATGTCTTTACGTACAAACATCAGTATGGTTGAAAATAAATCAAATGGGCAATGCTAAATCAAATAAACAGCATCTATCAGTTTACAGCAATACTCTCTCTCTCTCTCTCTCTCTCTCTCTCTCTCTCTCTCTCTCTCTCTCTCTCTCTCTCTCTCTCTCTCTCTCTCTCTCACACACACACACACACACAAAGTTTCTTTTTTTGTTTGTTTCTTTTTATTTAAATTATTGTAGTGTTTCAAGTTGTACTTACAAAATGTGAAAATGTGTAAAAGAAATGTATCAAGAACTTGATATTGAATTCTGTAATTTTGAAATAAAAAAATCTAGTAAAATACCAGTCAAACTCTATGGTCAAACGTCACGACCGAATATTGACGCAGTGCGCAGAACCGGAAGTGCACCACAGTATCCGGTTAAACAGCAGCAACGATGGTTTATGTATCAAATGGTAAGTGCTAAAAAAAACTTGTTTCTTTAAGAAAAATAATGTTATTCTCTTAGCGCAAACACGTACCAGTCTTATCATATACAGCAAACTGTCATACGTGGCTAAATATGTAATTTAGCGTCATTGTGCTTGTGAAAACACCCATTATTTCTGGTTTTCCTGTCACTCTGAGATGTTTGATGTGTGTGTGTGTGTGTGTGTGTACTATCGACACGACCCGCTCTGGCCAACATATGGTTTTGTTAATGTTACAGATGATATCCGGGTAGGAATGTTACGAACGATATGGTAAACACACATCTCCTGAATATTAATTAAAACGAAGCTGACGCATTTGTATCTTATTGGCTCGTCAGTTTGAATATTCATGGATCATTCTGTTCATTGGCTTGCTGACCTGCCACCGTCACGTGTTTAATATTCATAAGGCGTTCGCCATAGGATTCACGGTTTCCGTCATATGTGTGATATGTTCTGGTATCCCGTGCCCCAGGCCAGGTTCTGGACAGCCGGAGCCGCTCGCCCTGGAGGCTGTCGGCGCTCAGCGACCTCTTCTGGACCGCGGTCGAGTTCGTCGGCTTGTTGTAAGGCTTTTTATTTTTTATTAAGGAGTTTCATCGCTGTTTTTAGGGTTCTTGTTTGCAAAAGGACATTTTCCAAGAAGCTGCACATTAAGCAACTACATTCATAAACCCACTAGTCATGATCAAACTGTAAACACAAGATGGGATATTGCTTAAATTTGTCACAGAAAAGCATGAAAGATGGATAATAAGCAGTGTCAGAGGCTTGATCACGTGACTAGAGCAAGCCTGTAGACTTAATAGCTTTATTTATAGGTTTGAAGTTGAAGGTTTTAAGTTTGAAATAGTTTTAGTTAAGTAGAAGTTTTATAAGGCAAAATTTTGAACATAAAGCTATATTTAGATATAGTTTTGAAAGTTTGAAATAGTTTGTTTTAGTTTAGTAGTTTTAAAAACTTGGGGTGGTTGCTAAGTTGCTATGTGGTTGTTTGGGTATTCTGGGTGGTTGCTAAGGTATTTTGTGTGGTTGCTAGGGAGTTTACCTGTGATGTTTGACCAGTGTAATGTCTCCTCAGCTTCCAGACTCTTATTCAGCCAGATCTGTCTAAAGATGGACACACCGGCTCATCATCTCGCTTCAGCGACGGCAGAGGGTACGTGTGTGTGTGTGTAGCTTCAGCGACGGCAGAGAGTGTGTGTGTGTGTGATGGGGGTGTGTGTGTGTGTAGCTTCAGCGACGGCAGAGAGTGTGTGTGATGGGTGTGTGTGTGTGACAGGGGTGTGTGTGAGTGTAGCTTCAGCGACGGCAGAGAGTGTGTGTGATGGGTGTGTGTGTGTGACAGGGGTGTGTGTGAGTGTAGCTTCAGCGACGGCAGAGAGTGTGTGTGATGGGGGTGTGTGTGAGTGTAGCTTCAGCGACGGCAGAGAGTGTGTGTGATGGGTGTGTGTGTGTGACAGGGGTGTGTGTGAGTGTAGCTTCAGCGACGGCAGAGAGTGTGTGTGATGGGTGTGTGTGTGTGATGGGGGTGTGTGTGAGTGTAGCTTCAGCGACGGCAGAGAGTGTGTGTGATGGGTGTGTGTGTGTGATGGGGGTGTGTGTGTGTGTAGCTTCAGCGACGGCAGAGAGTGTGTGTGATGGGTGTGTGTGTGTGATGGGGGTGTGTGTGTGTGTAGCTTCAGCGACGGCAGAGAGTGTGTGTGATGGGTGTGTGTGTGTGATGGGGGTGTGTGTGTGTGTAGCTTCAGTGACGGCAGAGAGTGTGTGATGGGTGTGTGTGTGTGATGGGGGTGTGTGTGAGTGTAGCTTCAGCGACGGCAGAGAGTGTGTGTGATGGGTGTGTGTGTGTGATGGGGGTGTGTGTGAGTGTAGCTTCAGCGACGGCAGAGAGTGTGTGTGATGGGTGTGTGTGTGTGATGGGGGTGTGTGTGTGTGTAGCTTCAGCGACGGCAGAGAGTGTGTGTGATGGGTGTGTGTGTGTGATGGGGGTGTGTGTGTGTGTAGCTTCAGCGACGGCAGAGAGTGTGTGTGATGGGTGTGTGTGTGTGACAGGGGTGTGTGTGAGTGTAGCTTCAGCGACGGCAGAGAGTGTGTGTGATGGGTGTGTGTGTGTGATGGGGGTGTGTGTGTGTGTAGCTTCAGTGACGGCAGAGAGTGTGTGTGATGGGTGTGTGTGTGTGATGGGGGTGTGTGTGAGTGTAGCTTCAGCGACGGCAGAGAGTGTGTGTGATGGGTGTGTGTGTGTGATGGGGGTGTGTGTGAGTGTAGCTTCAGCGACGGCAGAGAGTGTGTGTGATGGGTGTGTGTGTGTGATGGGGGTGTGTGTGTGTGTAGCTTCAGCGACGGCAAAGAGTGTGTGTGATGGGTGTGTGTGTGTGATGGGGGTGTGTGTGTGTGTAGCTTCAGCGACGGCAGAGAGTGTGTGTGATGGGTGTGTGTGTGTGATGGGGGTGTGTGTGTGTGTAGCTTCAGCGACGGCAAAGAGTGTGTGTGATGGGTGTGTGTGTGTGATGGGGGTGTGTGTGTGTGTAGCTTCAGCGACGGCAGAGAGTGTGTGTGATGGGTGTGTGTGATGGGGGTGTGTGTGAGTGTAGCTTCAGCGACGGCAGAGAGTGTGTGTGATGGGTGTGTGTGTGTGATGGGGGTGTGTGTGAGTGTAGCTTCAGCGACGGCAGAGAGTGTGTGTGATGGGTGTGTGTGTGTGATGGGGGTGTGTGTGAGTGTAGCTTCAGCGACGGCAGAGAGTGTGTGTGATGGGTGTGTGTGTGTGATGGGGGTGTGTGTGAGTGTAGCTTCAGCGACGGCAGAGAGTGTGTGTGATGGGGGTGTGTGTGTGATGGGGGTGTGTGTGAGTGTAGCTTCAGCGACGGCAGAGAGTGTGTGTGATGGGTGTGTGTGTGTGATGGGGGTGTGTGTGAGTGTAGCTTCAGCGACGGCAGAGAGTGTGTGTGATGGGTGTGTGTGTGTGATGGGGGTGTGTGTGTGTGTAGCTTCAGCGACGGCAGAGAGTGTGTGTGATGGGTGTGTGTGTGTGATGGGGGTGTGTGTGTGTGTAGCTTCAGCGACGGCAGAGAGTGTGTGTGATGGGTGTGTGTGTGTGATGGGGGTGTGTGTGAGTGTAGCTTCAGCGACGGCAGAGAGTGTGTGTGATGGGTAGGTTTAGGGGTCGGGTTAGTGTGTGTGTGTGATGGTGAGGTTTAGGGGTCGGGTTAGTGTGTGTGTGTGATGGTGAGGTTTAGGGGTCTGGTTAGTGTGTGTGTGTGTGATGGTGAGGTTTAGGGGTCGGGTTAGTGTGTGTGTGTGTGATGGGTGTGTGTGTGTGATGGGTGTGTGTGTGTGATGGGGGTGTGTGTGAGTGTAGCTTCAGCGACGGCAGAGAGTGTGTGTGATGGGTGTGTGTGTGTGAGTGTAGCTTCAGCGACGGCAGAGAGTGTGTGTGATGGGTGTGTGTGTGTGAGTGTAGCTTCAGCGACGGCAGAGAGTGTGTGTGATGGGGGTGTGTGTGAGTGTAGCTTCAGCGACGGCAGAGAGTGTGTGTGATGGGTGTGTGTGTGTGAGTGTAGCTTCAGCGACGGCAGAGAGTGTGTGTGATGGGTGTGTGTGTGTGATGGGGGTGTGTGTGAGTGTAGCTTCAGCGACGGCAGAGAGTGTGTGTGACAGGGGTGTGTGTGAGTGTAGCTTCAGCGACGGCAGAGAGTGTGTGTGATGGGTGTGTGTGTGTGATGGGGGTGTGTGTGTGTGTAGCTTCAGTGACGGCAGAGAGTGTGTGTGATGGGTGTGTGTGTGTGATGGGGGTGTGTGTGAGTGTAGCTTCAGCGACGGCAGAGAGTGTGTGTGATGGGTGTGTGTGTGTGATGGGGGTGTGTGTGAGTGTAGCTTCAGCGACGGCAGAGAGTGTGTGTGATGGGTGTGTGTGTGTGATGGGGGTGTGTGTGTGTGTAGCTTCAGCGACGGCAAAGAGTGTGTGTGATGGGTGTGTGTGTGTGATGGGGGTGTGTGTGTGTGTAGCTTCAGCGACGGCAGAGAGTGTGTGTGATGGGTGTGTGTGTGTGATGGGGGTGTGTGTGTGTGTAGCTTCAGCGACGGCAAAGAGTGTGTGTGATGGGTGTGTGTGTGTGATGGGGGTGTGTGTGTGTGTAGCTTCAGCGACGGCAGAGAGTGTGTGTGATGGGTGTGTGTGATGGGGGTGTGTGTGAGTGTAGCTTCAGCGACGGCAGAGAGTGTGTGTGATGGGTGTGTGTGTGTGATGGGGGTGTGTGTGAGTGTAGCTTCAGCGACGGCAGAGAGTGTGTGTGATGGGTGTGTGTGTGTGATGGGGGTGTGTGTGAGTGTAGCTTCAGCGACGGCAGAGAGTGTGTGTGATGGGTGTGTGTGTGTGATGGGGGTGTGTGTGTGTGTAGCTTCAGCGACGGCAGAGAGTGTGTGTGATGGGTGTGTGTGTGTGATGGGGGTGTGTGTGTGTGTAGCTTCAGCGACGGCAGAGAGTGTGTGTGATGGGTGTGTGTGTGTGATGGGGGTGTGTGTGAGTGTAGCTTCAGCGACGGCAGAGAGTGTGTGTGATGGGTGTGTGTGTGTGATGGGGGTGTGTGTGAGTGTAGCTTCAGCGACGGCAGAGAGTGTGTGTGATGGGTGTGTGTGTGTGATGGGGGTGTGTGTGTGTGTGTGATGGGTAGGTTTAGGGGTCGGGTTAGTGTGTGTGTGTGATGGTGAGGTTTAGGGGTCGGGTTAGTGTGTGTGTGTGTGATGGTGAGGTTTAGGGGTCGGGTTAGTGTGTGTGTGTGATGGTGAGGTTTAGGGGTCGGGTTAGTGTGTGTGTGTGATGGTGAGGTTTAGGGGTCGGGTTAGTGTGTGTGTGTGATGGTGAGGTTTAGGGGTCTGGTTAGTGTGTGTGTGTGTGATGGTGAGGTTTAGGGGTCGGGTTAGTGTGTGTGTGTGTGATGGGTGTGTGTGTGTGATGGGTGTGTGTGTGTGATGGGGGTGTGTGTGAGTGTAGCTTCAGCGACGGCAGAGAGTGTGTGTGATGGGTGTGTGTGTGTGAGTGTAGCTTCAGCGACGGCAGAGAGTGTGTGTGATGGGTGTGTGTGTGTGAGTGTAGCTTCAGCGACGGCAGAGAGTGTGTGTGATGGGTGTGTGTGTGTGATGGGGGTGTGTGTGAGTGTAGCTTCAGCGACGGCAGAGAGTGTGTGTGATGGGTAGGTTTAGGGGTCGGGTTAGTGTGTGTGTGTGATGGTGAGGTTTAGGGGTCGGGTTAGTGTGTGTGTGTGATGGTGAGGTTTAGGGGTCTGGTTAGTGTGTGTGTGTGTGATGGTGAGGTTTAGGGGTCGGGTTAGTGTGTGTGTGTGATGGTGAGGTTTAGGGGTCGGTTTAGTGTGTGTGTGTGTGTGTGTGTGTGTGTGTGTGTGAGTGTAGCTTCAGCGACGGAAGAGAGTGTGTGTGATGGGTGTGTGTGTGTGAGTGTAGCTTCAGCGACGGCAGAGAGTGTGTGTGATGGGTGTGTGTGTGTGAGTGTAGCTTCAGCGACGGAAGAGAGTGTGTGTGATGGGTGTGTGTGTGTGTGTGTGTGAGTGTAGCTTCAGCGACGGAAGAGAGTGTGTGTGATGGGTGTGTGTGTGTGTGAGTGTAGCTTCAGCGACGGCAGAGAGTGTGTGTGATGGGTGTGTGTGTGTGAGTGTAGCTTCAGCGACGGAAGAGAGTGTGTGTGATGGGTGTGTGTGTGTGATGGGGGTGTGTGTGAGTGTAGCTTCAGCGACGGCAGAGAGTGTATGTGATGGGTGTGTGTGTGTGATGGGGGTGTGTGTGTGTGTAGCTTCAGCGACGGCAGAGAGTGTGTGTGATGGGTGTGTGTGTGTGATGGGGGTGTGTGTGTGTGTAGCTTCAGCGACGGCAGAGAGTGTGTGTGATGGGTGTGTGTGTGTGATGGGGGTGTGTGTGAGTGTAGCTTCAGCGACGGCAGAGAGTGTGTGTGATGGGTAGGTTTAGGGGTCGGGTTAGTGTGTGTGTGTGATGGTGAGGTTTAGGGGTCGGGTTAGTGTGTGTGTGTGATGGTGAGGTTTAGGGGTCGGGTTAGTGTGTGTGTGTGATGGTGAGGTTTAGGGGTCTGGTTAGTGTGTGTGTGTGTGATGGTGAGGTTTAGGGGTCGGGTTAGTGTGTGTGTGTGTGATGGGTGTGTGTGTGTGATGGGTGTGTGTGTGTGATGGGGGTGTGTGTGAGTGTAGCTTCAGCGACGGCAGAGAGTGTGTGTGATGGGTGTGTGTGTGTGAGTGTAGCTTCAGCGACGGCAGAGAGTGTGTGTGATGGGTGTGTGTGTGTGATGGGGGTGTGTGTGAGTGTAGCTTCAGCGACGGCAGAGAGTGTGTGTGATGGGTGTGTGTGTGTGATGGGGGTGTGTGTGAGTGTAGCTTCAGCGACGGCAGAGAGTGTGTGTGATGGTGAGGTTTAGGGGTCGGGTTAGTGTGTGTGTGTGATGGTGAGGTTTAGGGGTCTGGTTAGTGTGTGTGTGTGTGATGGTGAGGTTTAGGGGTCGGGTTAGTGTGTGTGTGTGATGGTGAGGTTTAGGGGTCGGTTTAGTGTGTGTGTGTGTGTGTGTGTGTGTGTGTGTGTGTGAGTGTAGCTTCAGCGACGGAAGAGAGTGTGTGTGATGGGTGTGTGTGTGTGAGTGTAGCTTCAGCGACGGCAGAGAGTGTGTGTGATGGGTGTGTGTGTGTGAGTGTAGCTTCAGCGACGGAAGAGAGTGTGTGTGATGGGTAGGTTTAGGGGTCGGTTTAGTGTGTGTGTGTGTGTGTGTAGCTCGTGTCCCGTTCTCTGTCTTCACCTTGTGTGTTCCCACAGTCCTCCCGGGCCGGGCCGCAGACGGATGGGCAGAATAAACCACGGCGCCGGTCCCACTCCTCCACCCATGGGCGGAGGCGGATGAGGACGGTACGTCAGAGACACACACACACACACACACACTAACCCTACACCTAAACCTATTTCAATGAAATGAGTGTACTAAATTTTAGTTTGAGAGTGTTTTTTATTTATTATTTTGTAGTTTTAGGTGATTTTATGGTAGTTATTTATATTTACGCTTTAAGCCCCGTACACACCGGGACGAATATCGGCGCGCGTTATTCGTCAGCGTTTTTCTTTTTTTTAGATGGCACTTAATGTGAAACAGAAATAGTCCTATGTTGTAGTCGCTGTGGCGTTTGTCATATAGTTCTTTATGTTGCGACAGCAACGAGACCAGCGGCTCTACATTCATCTGGCCTCGCATCTTCTTCGTCCTCAGTGTAGACGATACTTGGCGTATATCTCCTTCGCCGTTACGTGTGTGTGCTCGGCAAGACCGTTTTGTGTTTGAGCGCCCCCAAGCTGTGTTTTACTGTAACTTCAGAAGCTCCACACACGTGAGCAAAAGCGCCAATCTCATTGGTCGGATAGAAAAATGAATCCGAGGCATTTTTAGTCACGAGGTGTTAAACGTCTGCGAATATCCCAGTGTGAACAGGCCTTTATACACACACGTTTTGAGCTTAGACCTGAAAATGACATTTTCAGCTTAAACTGTGGTAGAGCTCAAGAGTGACTGTTGTCAGGACCATTAAACCTGCTCGAATCATGTCCATTATTTTGTATGTGTTCACACAGCAAGTTCCAAAACCTTTACCAAGTTTCGTACCATTCCAATGAAAAAATAAATAAATAAAAAATATCGGTCAAAAATGACCGAAGAGCACCAATACATGCGCCTCTTAAAGCCTTGTTTATACTCGACGCGTCCGCACGAGCGCGAGTCTCCGCTGACTCCGCGCGCACCTCTCCAAGCGGACGAGGCGTTTATACTCGACGCGTCTGCACGAGCGCGAGTCTCCGCTGACTGCGCGCGCACCTCTCCAAACGGACGAGGCGTTTATACTCGACGCGTCCGCACGAGCGCGAGTCTCCGCTGACTGCGCGCGCACCTCTCCAAACAGACGAGGCGTTTATACTCGACGCGTCCGCACGAGCGCGAGTCTCCGCTGACTGCGCGCGCACCTCTCCAAACGGACGAGGCGTTTATACTCGACGCGTCTGCACGAGCGCGAGTCTCCGCTGACTCCGCGCGCACCTCTCCAAGCGGACGAGGCGTTTATACTCGACGCGTCCGCACGAGCGCGAGTCTCCACTGACTGCGCGCGCACCTCTCCAAACGGACGAGGCGTTTATACTCGACGCGTCCGCACGAGCGCGAGTCTCCGCTGACTGCGCGCGCACCTCTCCAAACGGACGAGGCGTTTATACTCGACGCGTCCGCACGAGCGCGAGTCTCCGCTGACTGCGCGCGCACCTCTCCAAACGGACGAGGCGTTTATACTCGACGCGTCCGCACGAGCGCGAGTCTCCGCTGACTGCGCGCGCACCTCTCCAAACGGACGAGGCGTTTATACTCGACGTGTCCGCACGAGCGCGAGTCTCCGCTGACTCCGCGCGCACCTCTCCAAACGGACGAGGCGTTTATACTCGACGCGTCTGCACGAGCGCGAGTCTCCGCTGACTGCGCGCGCACCTCTCCAAACAGACGAGGCGTTTATACTCGACGCGTCCGCACGAGCGCGAGTCTCCGCTGACTGCGCGCGCACCTCTCCAAACGGACGAGGCGTTTATACTCGACGCGTCCGCACGAGCGCGAGTCTCCGCTGACTGCGCGCGCACCTCTCCAAACAGACGAGGCGTTTATACTCGACGCGTCCGCACGAGCGCGAGTCTCCGCTGACTGCGCGCGCACCTCTCCAAACAGACGAGGCGTTTATACTCGACGCGTCCGCACGAGCGCGAGTCTCCGCTGACTGCGCGCGCACCTCTCCAAACAGACGAGGCGTTTATACTCGACGCGTCCGCACGAGCGCGAGTCTCCGCTGACTCCGCGCGCACCTCTCCAAACGGACGAGGCGTTTATACTCGACGCGTCCGCACGAGCGCGAGTCTCCGCTGACTGCGCGCGCACCTCTCCAAACGGACGAGGCGTTTATACTCGACGCGTCCGCACGAGCGCGAGTCTCCGCTGACTGCGCGCGGACCTCTCCAAACGGACGAGGCGTTTATACTCGACGCGTCCGCACGAGCGCGAGTCTCCACTGACTGCGCGCGCACCTCTCCAAACGGACGAGGCGTTTATACTCGACGCGTCCGCACGAGCGCGAGTCTCCGCTGACTGCGCGCGCACCTCTCCAAACGGACGAGGCGTTTATACTCGACGCGTCCGCACGAGCGCGAGTCTCCGCTGACTGCGCGCGCACCTCTCCAAACGGACGAGGCGTTTATACTCGACGCGTCCGCACGAGCGCGAGTCTCCGCTGACTGCGCGCGCACCTCTCCAAACGGACGAGGCGTTTATACTCGACGTGTCCGCACGAGCGCGAGTCTCCGCTGACTCCGCGCGCACCTCTCCAAACGGACGAGGCGTTTATACTCGACGCGTCTGCACGAGCGCGAGTCTCCGCTGACTGCGCGCGCACCTCTCCAAACAGACGAGGCGTTTATACTCGACGCGTCCGCACGAGCGCGAGTCTCCGCTGACTGCGCGCGCACCTCTCCAAACGGACGAGGCGTTTATACTCGACGCGTCCGCACGAGCGCGAGTCTCCGCTGACTGCGCGCGCACCTCTCCAAACAGACGAGGCGTTTATACTCGACGCGTCCGCACGAGCGCGAGTCTCCGCTGACTGCGCGCGCACCTCTCCAAACAGACGAGGCGTTTATACTCGACGCGTCCGCACGAGCGCGAGTCTCCGCTGACTCCGCGCGCACCTCTCCAAACGGACGAGGCGTTTATACTCGACGCGTCCGCACGAGCGCGAGTCTCCGCTGACTGCGCGCGCACCTCTCCAAACGGACGAGGCGTTTATACTCGACGCGTCCGCACGAGCGCGAGTCTCCGCTGACTGCGCGCGGACCTCTCCAAACGGACGAGGCGTTTATACTCGACGCGTCCGCACGAGCGCGAGTCTCCGCTGACTGCGCGCGCACCGCTCCAAACAGACGAGGCGTTTATACTCGACGCGTCCGCACGAGCGAGAGTCTCCGCTGACTCCGCGCGCACCTCTCCAAACGGACGAGGCGTTTATACTCGACGCGTCTGCACGAGCGCGAGTCTCCGCTGACTGCGCGCGCACCTCTCCAAACTGACGAGGCGTTTATACTCGACGCGTCCGCACGAGCGCGAGTCTCCGCTGACTGCGCGCGCACCTCTCCAAACGGACGAGGCGTTTATACTCGACGCGTCCGCACGAGCGCGAGTCTCCGCTGACTGCGCGCGCACCTCTCCAAACGGACGAGGCGTTTATACTCGACGCGTCCGCACGAGCGCGAGTCTCCGCTGACTGCGCGCGCACCTCTCCAAACGGACGAGGCGTTTATACTCGACGCGTCCGCACGAGCGAGAGTCTCCGCTGACTCCGCGCGCACCTCTCCAAACGGACGAGGCGTTTATACTCGACGCGTCCGCACGAGCGCGAGTCTCCGCTGACTGCGCGCGCACCTCTCCAAACAGACGAGGCGTTTATACTCGACGCGTCCGCACGAGCGCGAGTCTCCGCTGACTGCGCGCGCACCTCTCCAAACGGACGAGGCGTTTATACTCGACGCGTCCGCACGAGCGCGAGTCTCCGCTGACTGCGCGCGCACCTCTCCAAACAGACGAGGCGTTTATACTCGACGCGTCCGCACGAGCGAGAGTCTCCGCTGACTCCGCGCGCACCGCTCCAAACGGACGAGGCGTTTATACTCGACGCGCCCGCACGAGCGCGAGTCTCCGCTGACTGCGCGCGCACCTCTCCAAACGGACGAGGCGTTTATACTCGACGCGTCCGCACGAGCGCGAGTCTCCGCTGACTCCGCGCGCACCTCTCCAAACGGACGAGGCGTTTATACTCGACGCGTCCGAAACGAGCGCGAGTCTCCGCTGACTGCGCGCGCACCTCTCCAAACGGACGAGGCGTTTATACTCGACGCGTCCGCACGAGCGCGAGTCTCCGCTGACTGCGCGCGCACCGCTCCAAACGGACGAGGCGTTTATACTCGACGCGTCCGCACGAGCGCGAGTCTCCGCTGACTGCGCGCGCACCGCTCCAAACGGACGAGGCGTTTATACTCGACGCGTCTGCACGAGCGCGAGTCTCCGCTGACTCCGCGCGCACCTCTCCAAACGGACGAGGCGTTTATACTCGACGCGTCCGCACGAGCGCGAGTCTCCGCTGACTCCGCGCGCACCTCTCCAAACGGACGAGGCGTTTATACTCGACGCGTCCGCACGAGCGCGAGTCTCCGCTGACTCCGCGCGCACCTCTCCAAACGGACGAGGCGTTTATACTCGACGCGTCCGCACGAGCGCGAGTCTCCGCTGACTGCGCGCGCACCTCTCCAAACGGACGAGGCGTTTATACTCGACGTGTCCGCACGAGCGCGAGTCTCCGCTGACTGCGCGCGCACCTCTCCAAACAGACGAGGCGTTTATACTCGACGCGTCCGCACGAGCGCGAGTCTCCGCTGACTCCGCGCGCACCTCTCCAAACAGACGAGGCGTTTATACTCGACGCGTCCGCACGAGCGCGAGTCTCCGCTGACTCCGCGCGCACCTCTCCAAACGGACGAGGCGTTTATACTCGACGCGTCCGCACGAGCGCGAGTCTCCGCTGACTCCGCGCGCACCTCTCCAAACGGACGAGGCGTTTATACTCGACGCGTCCGCACGAGCGCGAGTCTCCGCTGACTCCGCGCGCACCTCTCCAAACGGACGAGGCGTTTATACTCGACGCGTCTGCACGAGCGCGAGTCTCCGCTGACTGCGCGCGCACCTCTCCAAACGGACGAGGCGTTTATACTCGACGCGTCCGCACGAGCGCGAGTCTCCGCTGACTGCGCGCGCACCTCTCCAAACGGACGAGGCGTTTATACTC